TTATAGTATAGCCAGAAAGAACGGAGAATACAATTTGCCTTTTTAATTCCTACATAGAGCGTAGCGAGGTATCGTACCCCCTTCATTATCTTCTCACCCCCTTTCGTTTTTCCCCTTGTTTTTCGACACACACTGCGTCATACTTATTATCATCGTCGTCGTCGTCGTCGTCGTCGTCGTCGTCATTATGCATAGCCGCGAAGTGAAGCCATTGCAACACCGTGTCACCTTACTCCCGGTTCACTGCCCTCCTCTCCTTCTCATGCCCCCGATGTAAATACTCTATGTACTCGCAAGTTTGAATCCGAGGCCCGGGTAGGGATTATTCAACTTGAACAGTCCCAATTCTGGCCTCCATTTCACGATAAACGATGTGCGTGTAGATAGAAAATAGTATACAATATATTTTATCTTTTTAAAAACGCGTGCACGTAAAAGGATATCCGATATTTTCCGTTCGTAGTATTCGTTTATGGCGTAATGTTAATTTTATCAAATTGACGATTTGAAATGTGAAATGCATTCTGAACTATTATGTAAACTATTATACATCGTTCACCCTTGTCCTTTCCTCTTCGCAGCGACGCGTGACAATCCTACTTTGCCATTAGTATGACGACATCGATCTTGATCAGGGCTACAACTATTACTAATTATTATTATTGTCATTATTATTATTATATTATTATTATTGTTTTATGTATTAGTTATTTATGAGTTTTCCCAAAACTGTCTCTCTCTTTATCATTTTGTGATAGTTACACCCTCGTACGCCTACGCGAGATCACACGCACACGCACACGGTTTCGATATAAAATTTCTAGTTTTACGTGTCAAAATAAATTCTTGTCACGCGCCGAAATTTTTCTCGTAAAAACCACCTAGCTTTACCGCACGAGTTTCATACACCCCTCGCGTTATCATAATCATTTTCCCATCGCGTACGTAAGTTCTCTTCGTCGGAGATTCGACGCGGAGATATTTCATTCTTAGCATACTGAGCAAGACTGTTACCCCCCCGTCGCATTTGCATGATACCCTAAGAAAGCAGTCTCGAATAACAAAATGAATCTCGTGCGACGCGGACGCTAGATACGCGGTACGGACGTGTGAACTGATTGCTCTCTTCTCGTTGCTATACATATACTCGTTTTAAATGTCTGTCACAAAGTATTAAACGTTAGCAATGAAAATTTCTGTGTGATCCTCACTGGTGTGACTACTCGCAAGCCGGCGAGGGTGTGGCTCGGCTTCTCGCTTTTCTTCACCGACACGAACACACACAAAAGTATAAACATAGTTTATACTCATTATAGGCAGACAAAGATTGTGCATACGTGACACTCGATATAAAACTACAAGTACACTCAGTTACACGAATGAAGGAACAACGTTATTGTATGTCGGGCCCTACTATTCTTGTGTATATAGTTTATTATTATTATTATTATTATTATTATTATTATTATTAATTATTATTATTATTATTATTATTATTTTATATTATTAATATTATATTATTTTTCCGTTCTAGTCTAAAATAAAGCTATACTATCATAAGATTAATCTTTGGTTTTTTTTTCTTATTTGACGTTTTTTATCAGCACCTGTACTCCCGACTCCGTTGCATCTCCTGTAGCTTTCTGTGTTCTCGGGTAAGTCGCATCGTTTTAAGTATTGTTAGTAAGACATCATTAACAATTTCGATATCGCAATTCAATGTGAGTCTTGTTCATCGTATCTTAATAGTCCAATCAAATAATTAATGCATAAATATGAAATACTAGCCAGTGATTTGATTATCCAAAGAAAACTTATTTCATTATTTTCTTATTAGCAATGTTAGGATTAAGATAGGAAGAGCAAGATGCGAAATGTACATTATCCGTCGTGTGCAACATTCTCGCAATTAATTTTGCGCGTCGAAAGGAGCGAGTAATTCGTCAAGAGATCGACGAGGCGATACTCGAAGCGGAAGAAAACGGTTGTGTTTCCCGGGGTTGTACGGTGGCCGTCGAGTTTTGCGTAAACCGTGGGCTATTAAGGCGAATTACAGCGTGGCTCGTCTGGTAGTCGTGCATCACCGGGGTAATTAAGCCCCCGCGCTGGTTCGTTCCGTGATGCGAACGATTCGACGCGTTAGCCAGGTACTTACTTACATGGCATTGTCGCATGGCGAGACCAGGCCCCGGTTGCTCACCGGTACCGGTGGCAACGTGGAAAACAAGCGGGTTTATCGTGGATCGTGCCGGGACGGGCTCGTCTAACCTCGCGGCAATGAATTAGAAGCGACAGGGAAACACTTACGTTTGAGGGAATTACACGCTCGCGCCTGGATTCCTAATGCGTACAGCTACTACCTAGTCGAGTCGTCTATACGGCCACGAGTTCCCTGGAATTTCATTAGGCAGCAGGAAAATTGCTGAACTCCCGACGCTCGGGGTTAGCGGAATTTTTAATCCGACTAAGTTCCTAGATTGACTTTTCCAAAAAAATATATCTCGTACTGAGACAGGAATATATTCATTATTTAAACTAGATATCCTGTTTTATAGTAAATGACCGTATTCAAATTTAAAGTGGATGTACTTTGAATAATCTCCATATTCAAATGAAATCTCTCCATGGCCAGTATTCTATTTCATACGAACGCATCAACATACGAATCCAAGGTATCGCAATAAGCCAACAATGGCCCGTGCAAGCACGCGCATTACAATAGTATCACCGGCCGGCGTATAAATGACGCGTGCGGACGGAAGGCTGGGGCCACGTGTATTACTTGCAGCTTCCTTGATCGTTCATAAAATTTCATCCGGGTGAATCGGTCGAAATTCACGACGCTCCCGTACCCCTTCGCAGGGTTACGTTCCTTCCGGCTCGTGGCGGGCCACGTGTCGCGTTTTCAACGTCACACCGAAAGGCTTATGCTAATCGCGTCGAGGACACGGAATACCGTCGCGTTTTGTACCGGGTAACGATTATACGCGCGATTCGTGAAATTATGCAAAACTGCACCGCGTCGTTTACAAACGCGTGCACAAGGTGTTAGTTCCCGTGTAGACCACGCGGGCTGGCACGTGGCGAAGCTACAGCGAGGGAATGCAAATGATAAACTCGACTCGAGGGTTAGACGGCACTCTGCCTCTCCTTCACCTCCTCGAGGACTCGCCCGTGCAAATTCTGTATCGAGATACACAGTCATTCTACGGATCATTCTGATTCGAAGTAGGGTTCAAATCTAATAATGATCGATTTAACCAGAAATTGTCAATTCTACATGTTTTCTATAATAACACTTGATATCTTAGAATTTAGGATGACGATTTACTATATTGACGATTTATTACAGACGACAATGTGTAATCAAAATGAATTTTTTCATTACATTTATGCAGATAGATTATGCATTGGTTGGGATCACTTGCTTTCTGCATTTTCTTATTCGATCATGCGGTGTTCGTTTAGTTTAGGTTTTAATCCCGTCGCGGTCCTCCTGTCCCCAATCGGCGTTCTTTCACCGATCTTCCACCGCGTGTCCCAGGCCATATGTTACCCGATCCACAACGAAGCTATTAATTATATATA